TCAACAAAACCGATTTCAGATTGAAATGATCTGTTAATTCAGTCTCTACATAGTTCTTAAAGTTGACGTAGTTGCAAATTTTAAATCATGACACCCATTATATGTTAGGAAAATATCTTAGGTTTGTCTGCTTCTAATAAAATATAATAAAAATTATATGAATTACATAAATATAAATGGTCTTCCTGATCATTGGGTGACAGGCACTGAAACCTATGATGTGAGGTTTGTACACATTAACATCACCCTTAAGGAATGATTTATATAATAACACACAGCACTAATAAATTGTAAAGTTATAGTAGTGTGTATTCTATTCCAATACTTTACCAAAAACTTCGACTCCTTCTGACCGTAGCAGACAATGATTGAAAGAGGTAAGGTGATAACTGTTTGTTCCATTGAAAAAAAGTGTGGTTGAAACTCAAACGAATATATTCTCTTAAATGTCTGCCGTCCTTTTATTTGTGTCTTATGTCTTCTCTTACTTCAGAGAAGTTGGTTCATATTTCAGGTTTTCTCACTGAGGTATGAAGTATAATAAGTATGAATCAACTCTTCAGAATCACAGAAGACATAAGAAAGAAAAAATAAGGACCGCAGATATTTTAGTAATATTATAGTACTCGCATGAGTATCAAGGCTTTGACTAATGTGGACTTATTTAACGTTTTGTTAGCTCTTACAGCTGCACCTACAATTAATATTTAGAATTCTAGAACTTTAAGTCTGAGTATTGAGAGAGTGCGAGAAATATTTTGGAAAATGCTTTGTTGGCTTGCATTCAGACACAATGGCAGCAAGACCAAGGAAAATAGGCGTTTGGTATGACAAATAGTTACACTAGTGGATCTACGAGAATAAAATATTGTAGAATACGTTCATAATGTTGTCCACATACATCCGATTTTGTTTTAAGAGCGACCAAATAATGTCGAAGCAAAGCCATTATAAAGAGTGTTTTTGCCGCAAATGGTGTGACAAATAATCAACTGAATTAGTAAGGCTATAGCTCTTACCATGATAGAGGTTAATAACTATGAGTTTTTTTTTACATGTTAGAGATAAAGATCCCATGATAAAACGAAGAAACTCATAATAAAGTGCATTATTCTCATCAAACGATTTCGCATTTAAAAATCCATTTTCTCATTTATGTTCCCCAAACTTATTGAACAACCTATATATGTTTTATTCATCAATTTTACAGAGATCTGGTAAAATAAAACTTTTATTAAAATTAGCATTTCTATGCAGCAGTTTGCCAATTGCTGTAGGTCTTAAAGTCAGACTTTGAATAGAAACTTTTAATCTAAAAATTTAACAGAAATATCGAACAAAAGTAATAATCAATCAAAAAAAGAAAGAAATAACAAAGTAGAATGAGAATTATTGGCTATAATGGAACTTGTTGTTAACAACACTCAGTAGCAATTCAACATTAAAGCCTACAGGCGCTGACAATTACTTTAACAATCCTTTTACCCTTCATAATTCGTTAACCATAAAATGAACTGAACTTTCTTTACTTATTAAACTTATCATTTTATAATTTTTCTCATTTTTACTATTTTTTTTTTGCAGTTAACGAAGTAAAACAACAGCAAAACGCTGTGTTAAATAGCGACAAAATGACACAATACGGCAATACTGGCAGTCAAATACATTCCAAATTAGACATTCAAAAGTTCCCAGAGGACATGCAACATAATAATAGCGGTGGCAATAGCATCGACAACAGCAACATCAACAGCAACAGCAACACTAATTCGGGCGCCAACAATACACAAAATGGCAATACAATAATTTTAACGCCAACATCATTAAATGCAACAACAACAACAACGACGGCAACAACACTAAATGCACCGACAGCTATGATTACGGGTGTTGGCGGGGGTGGAGGAGGCGGTAACAATAGTTGTGCTGTTAGTTACACGGGCAGTACTCGCCTAACATCGGAAGAATATAAAGGACCAAAATTGTAAGTAAAAATTTATTGTAACTAAAATCGCTGCAGGTTAAGTAAAGATACAGAAACTTGTAAATTACACAAAAGATATTACACAAAATTTGTGTCGCCAATGGACTGAATGTAGTGACTGTTGGAACATTTTTTAATTACTTGAAAAAAAATATACATAAATAAAATTCTTGTAAAATAGAATTGTGTGTTTATGGTCGATATATGTCAGATATATAACAAAATATATAAGAAGAAAATTAAGTTTATATATCTCTGAAAGCATGTTTTGTATTGTACAATATTAAAGAGATAGTACTATAATAAAAGTTAATCAATATTTAATTAGTATTTAATATAATTGTTAAATATTTTAAAATGACTGCAGTACACATATATGAATGCTACATAATCCTTTTTCATCAAGTAGATTCTAAATTTCTTGTGAATTTTTATATAATTGAGGGAAAATAAAAGTATGATTCTGATTCCGAGATTTACTATTATTCAAATTTCTTAGCGTCTTTAGTTTTAGTATTTTTTCTTTAATGATTTCAGATATTAAAAAAATATATCAAGGCTATGTATATTCTATGTATGGTTCCATATTCTGAACCATTGCTTACTAAAAGTAATTAATTTTAAAATTTTAATTCAAAGTAAAGCTCTTATATATCAGATATTTGATATAAGCGAAGAAGATTTATCAATATCCATCCACATTTATTTTTTTCAAAAAAAGTAAAGTGGTTTTCAAGGTTCTCTCAATACCGATTAAATGAGGGTATCAAACGAAAGGAATAAAGCTTTAATTATTAAATACTGTTAATATCACATATCCATCCGCATTTACTTCTTACAATAAAAGGGAATTGGTTTACAAGGTTCTCTCAAAAAATAAATACTAAACAACTTTTTTTTGAGGAACACATAATTCTTTAGCTAAACTCACAAATATCAAAACGCTGGAAGCTCCCTTGATTTCAAATGTGTCATTGTCTATTACAAACGATCAATAATCAAATAAATAAATCAAATATATATAGTCAACATCCAAATCCGTTTACAACGCCTCTGATGTCGTTTTTAAATACCATCTAAAAGTTAAGAATCAAAAGCTCCAGTCATACGTAAAAATAGCAACCTTATATTACTTCCCAAGAATTCATTTTAGACATACGAATTTATATGAAATTAATTTAAAACGTTTATTACACATCATGGTATTTACATGTAATTATAATTAAACTGATTGAGAACTATAACATATTATGTTGCTACAAGTGTACTAAGTATTAATAAGTAAAATAAATAAGAATATAATACATAATATTGTTGTATAGTGTTTAGTTGTTATTAAAATAAATAAGAATTATTATGTACTACATACTATGTATTATATATTATGTTATATATTTGTGGTAAATGTTCGTACATACAATTTTTGATTAATAATAATAATTACTAATTAATTATAAGTATTACGAAGAGTTAAAAGTTGCTGCGTTCCTTTGAATGATGACAAAAAACATAATTTTTAAATACAAATTAATGTTTTAAATAATAATAATAAATAATAAATAAACAAGAAATAATAAATAACAAATAAAATAAAAATTTTTAGTACAAATATATTTTTGCCTGAATTTATCAGGAATACAATAGGTGATAGATATGACTTTTGCACTTCAACTTTTTTACAGATAATAGATTAAAACTATAAATAAAAAAAAAAATTTATAAAAATATAATTGAGACTTTGAGAAGACTTTTCAAAGTCCCATGGTACATCACGACGAATGACATCCTCAGGGACCTCAAGATTAATTCCATCAAAAAATACATAAAGGATAGCGCCCTGAAATTATTTGCGAAAAATGACAGACTTACCAACATCGCCTTATCGAATCTTAGAATGGTTACAGGACCGTTGGGGAGGTATGCAGATCTGAGGTCGATTATTGCTTAGTCTGATGAAGTGATAAATAATAATCCAGTCAAAGCGTAAAGAGGGGTTTTCAAAATACCTCGAGTTAAAATAGAGTAAAAGTATTCAAGTGCACTGGCTCAAGTAGCTTCAACATAATAATAATAGATTTTCGGTTTTCAAAATTTAATTTTTATTTCAAAATTTGTAATTAATTACTTAATATTATTAATTATTTTTTTTCCAGTAAATTAAGTACAAACATTTTATTTCCAATAAGCTGAATTCTTTGTCCAGTTAGCTGTTTTGGACCCCGTCAAAAATTCATTATCACTAGTCTTCAAAAATACTTCTTGGCTTAATTTTTCTTATAGAATTTTAGCCCGTAGAAATCAGAAAGTTATCCTTGTCGATTATGATACATAGACTCGCATGTTAACACCCTAAGCCAGCGTAACATTTTATTTGAGTTTTTTAATTTTTTGTGTTAATTTAAAATAAATTTGAGAATCAAATAAATCATAATTATTATTATGAAAAGTCGTGAGAAGCATTAAACTTCCATTTGATAGGTCTATACATCCTCAAGCTATCGTAAAAGGTTTACAAAGGTTTTATGTGTGTGGAATACACTCCATTCCTTGTGTCTATATTTGTTTGCAAAATGCACATTTGGTAGGAATTTCCGTAGCCTGCATTTGCACAAAGACAAAGCAAACGCCAACATGCGTACATCCTGCTACGTATTCATATTTTCTTCTTTCTACAGGACATCATTGCAATCGGTGCTTGGTGGTTCGTATTCCATCCTCGATGAATAGGACATCGATGGAGTTACACATTTGTTTGGTGTGTTAATGTTTTTGAGTTCGTATTCGCATTTCACTTTTTTAAATAGAATTTTTACTCATACGGTTACTTGCTGTGCGAGTACTTCACGCGGGCGCCTCACAATACCGCCACATTTACCTCCTGGCAGCACAAAAAGTAACCATTAATTTGAAACTGAGCCTCATTTCCTTGGTCTTGGTACAGCTTTATGTGTTCTGCATCCTACATGGGAGACTTATTGTAAAACTACAAATTGTTGAAACTCATTTTTAATTCCATTTTTCTATTGTTGTTTGTGTTTTTGTAAGAATTTTGTTGACTTTGTTGTTGTTGTTGTTGTGGTGATATGTTGCATTTTCGCGTAATTGAGGCCTTAAGTGTGGCGCTAATGTGTTTTTCTTTGTTGGTTCTTGTGAAGTTGCAGGCAACCTATACATAAAACGCCTGAGAAGTCAAGACGTTTATTTTATGAGTATATATCATGAAGGTTTTTGAATTTTAATTATGAATAATCTGAAGTGTGTATTATAGAAGATAAGAAAAATTTACCAGAACGGAGCTTTTTTTAAAAATAATTAATTTTTTTATCCCGTTTTTCAGTAACTATACAAATTTGTAATTCGATTTTAACAAATAATAAATAATGTGATTCACCAGAACTTATTATAAGTGCCACCATTGAATGGATGGATGTTATGGGTAGCGCTATAACATAAAGTCTTCCACAATTCCCCATCTCCCATCGCAATTAGGGTTTAAATAATGAATTTAATAGTTGAAAATGAAAAAACTACAATATTTGCAAGAATATACCAATTACCTTAATTTAATTATGCATTTCGTATAAGTACTTGTAAATATAATCACATATATATATATAAAGTATATATATACACTTACCTATACCAATATATTACATATATATATATATATAATATATTATAATATATATATTATATAATTATACATTTATATATAATTATAATAATAATTGATTATTATTATTTATATATAATAATCAATATATACATATAAACATAAAATATATATAAATATAGATAATAAACTGTAGATATATGCGTAAAGGATTAAAACAACCCATTTACATTTAACTCTTTCTGATGTCAATTATTTAATTTTCATTCTAATTATTCTGAGAAAGTCAATGCTCTGATTGGAATTACTTCTTTCACGTGTAATATTGATCTCCAGGTTTTCTGAGATTCAGCATTTTTTATTAAGCTGTGGAATCAAATTTTATTAATCAAATTTGTGAGTGATGAAAGATAGATATATTATATTTATAATTGAAAATATGTCTTATTATTTGAATCAAAGGTGATTAAAAAAATTGAGTCTATTATTAGATTGATGAGTGAAAGACCGCTACCTAGTTTCGTAGCAATCACACGGACATCAACAGATGGGTAGATGGGTTTCCTTTGAGAGAGGTTCTTTGAGTGGTGATAGTTCGCAGGAGCATATCGCAGAATCTTTGATTGGTGATACTTTACAGAAGCATGTCAAGTAAAGACACAAGCTAGGGTCTATCAGATTATCTATGGGAATTTTTAAGTGAATAATTTTTAGAAGGCAACATAACTCGGCAAATTATGTAGGATTTTAAAATAATACAACTAAATGGAGTTTTTCTTGTATTTTAAAATTTGAAAACATATTTTAACAATACTACATCAATTAAATAATGTAGAAATAGTTCATTTAGAAAAAAAATGCTGCTACATTATGTGTGAATTGTTTTTCCTTTACAGTACATATGTTATAAATAGCTAACACCTGAAAGCAAATCGAATGTATTATCATAAACAAAAATTTTATTTTTATTTTTCAAGAGCGGTACCGAAAAATAGCGAACTACAAAAATTATTTTTATGTTATTATAATTAATAAAATGTTCGCTGACGATACAACCAAATACCTAACATGAATGGTCTACGAAGTATTTCTCATATTTAATTATTCTTAAATTATTTATTAAGATTGCTTGTACCAAAGGTTGAATTCGTACCCTGTTAAATTTGAAGCTCAGAGTCAATGTTTATAAGCCAACGGGCCCAAAACCGTTCAAACTTCATTTTTTGTTGATTTGCTGTAAAAGTTCATTAACAAATTAACTTGCTGTGTTGTCATCGACCGAAATCATAAACCAGATCCAGACTAATTGAATTAATAAACAATATTTATATTTTTAATTATAAAATTGTTTAATTTTTAATTTCTAATATAACAAATATTTCATTTT